GAGATCTTTCTGCATTCAGCATGGTGAATATATGCTCTGTGTGTGTGTGTGTGTGTGTGTGTGTGTGTGTGTGTGTGTGTGTGTGTGTGTGTTACAACCACAGACTAACGAAGATTGGAAGATATAAGTTTCATGGGAAGTGAAGAAGGAGTAGACATCGGACTGTAGGTCAGACGGCTTAAGTTGGTGGGATTTCTTCTACATTTTGAAAGCAAGACAGTATCATCAAATTGTAATTTTTTGGTCCCCAGCAAAATGGAACAGAAAAATCAAATATTTTGGGAGGTGACTCTGTTTTGAGTCTTTCTTTGAATCTAGGGTTCTAGCCGTGTGTGTTTATGTGCCATTGATTTGACTCTTACGCCTGGTGACCCTATGAATGAGTGATGTCCACAATGTCCTGTCCTCAAAGGCCTTGCTCAGCTCCTGCAGACTCCTGACTATGGCTTCTTTTATGGAGTCAGTCCATCTCATAACTGGTCTTCCTCTTTTCCTGCTGCCTTCTATGTTTTCCCAGCATTGAAAGAATAAAAGATCTCACCTGTCATCTGCTTTTGGAGGATAATGGAGGGTAGTGGTGAGTTTAATTAGTTTAGAAATAATTTTTCATTACTTAGGGCTTAAGTATGTTTTTATTTCATATTTTTCTGAACGAAAATCAAGGAGAAGAAATTAAGATGTTTTTTCCATAAGATTTAGCTAGGTTTATTAATTTTCCTACTTTATACTTCTGCCAAAAGAAAAACTGGGATATGTTTCTTTGTGCAACAACGTGTATTTCCTCTCTCTCTCTCTCTCTCTCCCCTCCCCCTCCCTCTCTTCTTCTCTCCCTCCCTCCTTCTCTCTCTCTCATACATGTGTGCATGTGTGTGCACACCCAAACCACACACATTTTTAATTTAGCTGTGCTGAAGTTTTGTTTTTAGCAGTCACACACACACAAAAACAACTTTGTATAGGCAGTTGGTGAAGTGTATATATCTGTATATTAAGTAAGGTTTGACTGTTGGGAAAATGCAGCAACCCTCCCAGCTTGCTTATTTTTTCACTGACTATTTGTTAAGGAAATACCGCCTTGCCGCAGTGTGGACCCTGGCGGGGTGGGCGGGTTCTTGGATGGACTCAGAAGCTCCAAGGGCTGTTTTTGCTTTTAGCCAAAAATTAAATTGGATTAAATTGCCACTGAGCAGAGAAGAGCAATTAGACAGAGACGGACAACATCAAGTTTGATTTAGCTTGTGGACACTTGAGGCAGGCAGTGGAGGACTTCCTGTCACAGAAGAAGCTTATCTGCCAATTCTGTGATTGCACAAGTTCAAGGCATGTTAAGTGACGGTGCGGGGGGTTTACTGCTCTTGACATGAGACACCGAGACTGTAAATGACAGAGAAGGGGATAGGAGATGACTAGGAAAGGCTGATCCACAAAGGAGAGTGCCAGGGAGGTAGAGCTTGGACTTGAGACATCTGCTGTGTAGTTCTAGCTGAACCAGCACCAGCTCTGCCGATGACAGAACCTTGAACTCCTGCAGGTCCATAGACTGTCCTTTAATTCCTTTGAGATCTTATCACATTAAGCGACTCAGCCTCCCTGTGAGGCTGGTGATGGAGAGACAGGGAGAATATAGAGGTACACCAGAAGCCTGTTGGAAGAGTAGCGAGATGGCCTCATCGAAAAAATCACTCTTCTATGACTCATATATAAGGTCCAGTTAATTTAAAGAGAAGTTTTTCACCTTTATAAGGTGATATTTCCCAAAACAATGGAAAAAAATTGTTTTAAAAAAATGGGTTCTGTTTTTCTGGCCTGACTGTGTGAGCCATGGTTTCTATATCTTTGCTATAGGAGTTTGAGGTCTCTGGGCTCTAGAGAGTCAGACAGTCTCCTTTCAAAGGGCTTCAGAGGATATGGCCTGGGCATTTTCCTTCTTCCTTGTTGGCCTTCTGGTACTATTCACAAGACTTTACATTAGTTGCTGGGCTGCGTTTTCTGCTTACCCGGGCTGATGGCCTCTATGGCTATCCTTCTGCTGAGCAAATCACAGAAAAGCAATTCTGAATCTGTCTACTGGACCGTGATTGTACGCTTTTCACTGCTAGCTACACTCAGCCATGGCTGAGCTACTGCTCAGCAGGTGCTTCTTGAAAAATAATGGAAGAGCTTCTTGCTTTTCCTTAATCCAGCAACATTTGAAACCTTTGCTCTGATGCAAGCGTACTCTTACTAAAAATAAATGTGCTCGCTCAAGTGCCATTCATCTCAACAAAACCCTGTGAGTCTGCTTTATTTCTTATTCTTATTTTCCCAGCATTCAAAGAGAAAGAAGTTTCTTTCTTTTGACATGTCCTAAGAATACTTATCAGCAGTGACTTTACTCAGACATCCTTCAAAGTATGTACACCTCTAGATTTTAAGTACCTGCTTCTGTATTTCTATTTGAAATCACTCTCCTTTCTTAAATCTAGGAAGAGAGTCCTGTAGAATTTTTTTTTTAAAGTAATAATTCTAATCTGGAGACAAATAGTAACAATATTATCCAATAGTCACGATATTTCCTTGGGTTAAACTTAGTAGTTAGATATCAAGAAGGCTGTGATTCCAAGATGATTTTTAACTAAGCATGTAAAAACGTGATGGGCTAGTCCTTACAAATTGCTTTCATATCATGTGCTGGTTTCTATTTAGAAATAGAAGTTAAATATGACATTTAAAGCTGTGGAATGATTACAGATTTGAATGCCAGTGGTGGTATTTCATAAGAGCTGCTGCTTGCTTATGGAAGATAATTTAACCTGTCATATATCCTCTTAAATTCTTGGATATAGGTGCACTAGGACAGTGTGACTAGCATTTGTCTTGTATCACTAAAATAGCTTGAGAGGGCAAACCTTGACCACAAACAAGTTCTAGGCTGGATGGATGTATCTAAAAACTAAATTTACTCTTCAGGGTACAAATATTGTTTAGTCAACTACATATGCT